CCAGCCCAGACCCCTGTCCATGTGACCTAAGGCCACCTCCTAGCCTCAGTTTCCTCTTCAGAGAAATAGGAAAACACCAGAAGGGCCAGGAAGAGCTGAAATTTTGTTATTGTCTTTTCCTGCCTTCACCAAGACAGGGGTCCTATATCAGCAGTCCCACCACCGACCTAGGAAATTGAACCTCCTCAGCATATTCCATAGTTCCTCTGTCTCCACAGGTGGTGAAATGGTCCAGGCTGAGACCCTGGGGGTGAAGATTGTCCAGAGTCCATACAACATCAAGTTCACCAGGACACCTCAGTATTTCAAGCCAGGGATGCCCTTCCACTTTAGGGTCAGCATCTAGGCTTACTCAGCCCAGAGATTCAGGGCCCCCTCCACAAAACAGACCCTTCAGGAGACCAAAACCCACCTAGGACTCACTGGCACCCAATTCGTTTGAGAGTCCATCATGTTCTTCAGAGTAATCCCAAGTTCCCCTCAAGGCTTAACCCAGGTCCCCACAAAGCACAGTGATGGCTCCAGAATCTCTCTATGGGGAAACAACCGGGCTGGAATATGGTGCTTGAGAGCTTATCTGGAGGCTGCATTTGCACAGCAAGCATGCTATTTTTAGATACGTTAATTTAGAGTGGCTTTGAGATGTATGATGGACATTAGGAAATCTAGGGATATCCTTTGGTGCCAATCCTACTCCAAGTTTCCCCCAAGCCTTCCATGTCTTCTCCTACCTTCTGCACTTCCACTCTTTCCGCTCCCAATCAGCACACCATCACTCAGGGTGACCACATATGGTTGTACACTGCAAAACTTTAGGGGGTACTATTCATAAAGACTAATATGAATAGCACTCTCGGTGTTGTTCAGTACACCATTTGTACAGCTACACAAGGCAGTCCTATCCGAATTGTATTCTCAGTTTCCATCACTTACACCAGGCCACTCCCAGGTCTGTACTTCATCTCATCCCAGATTCCACTCCAGGTATTTGTCTCAAATCCTGATGGGTCCCCAGCCTCCAGAGTCCTTGTCCACTGCCAAAACCAGAGAGTGTACACCTCACCCAATGGGGTGGCCAGTCTCACCATCAACACAGATGCAGATCTGGACCAGCTCCCCATCATGGTACCAATCTGACAGGGAAAGGATGGTGGGGTTGGGGCTGTATGAGCTGGAAGTATTGGGGCTTACTTTCCCATCACCCTCCCCAGGTAAAAACTGATGAGTCTCTCAGGCCAGAAGAACAGGCGTCAGCCAATATGACAGCTTGGCCATATTTGACTCAGGATGGGTCAGGGAATTTTCTGCACATCGAAGTAAAGACATTGGGCACAGATGTTGGCAGCAACATACAACTGAGCCTCAACACAAGGCATCGAAACCCCTCAACCAAAAACAAGATCACTCATTTCACTATCCTGGTGAGGGGCTAGGACCAGGGCCTGAGCCAAGGAGTTCTTTCCCTGGAACAACCTTGGCTTGCTGGGTTGGAGGAAACATGAACAAAGGTGTGAAGGTGGGGACAATCTGGGGTGGGCTCAGACCAAGAAGCTGAAGCAAGAGTACTATGGTCTCCCACTGTGGACTGGGACAGCCTCAGGGAAAGGATGCCCTTCTCCTCTCATTCTTGGCCTCCTTTGTCTCCAAGGTCCTGAGTAAGGGCCAGATTGTGAGTGCCAAACATCAATCAAAAAGCCTAGGGAGTGTCTATACATCAACCATTATTGATGTGACTTCAGAGATGCTGCCCTCCTTCCGCATTCTGGCCTTTTATTTACTGCCCAGGGGAGTGAACCGGGACCCTGAGCTGGTGGCTGATTCCATATGGATTGATGTAATTGACAGATGCATGGGAACGGTGAGCCAAACTCCTTGTAGCTGCACATCACCATCATAAAGGTATAGAAAGGGTCTGCACAAGTTCAGGGGTTCCCAGTCTGGGAGACAGGAGAGATGAAGATGTGGCCTTAAGAGCTCAACACAGGGGGTAGAAAAGATGCAAGCAAATAAATATGCAGAATTGGGATTGACCTGGTGGAGTTCCCAGCTGCTCCACCAGAGCAGTAAGGAGCATGAACTTGAAAGTGGAGTTGGGTGGCTATGATCCCCCTTTTCTGACATCTCTCTTTTTCTTGGTTCAGCTGAAGGTTGGCTTGAAGAATGATGGATTCAACCAACCTTTGGAGCCCAACAGCCAAGTGGACCTAAAGGTTACAGGTGATGCAGGGGCCACAGTGGGGCTGGTGGCTGTGGACAAGGCTGTCTATGTCTTGAACAGCAAACACAAGCTCACTCAGAAGAAGGTGAGAGCATATGAGCTTTGGGTCAAGAGGTTGCCTAGGTATTCTAGCTGGAGTCTCAGCTTGTTCAGCTATAGAAAGGGCAACATCAATGTCTGTGAGTATACAAGGAGACAGTACACAGTATAGTAACTGGAAGGTGGTAAAAGCTCAATAAACAGGAGATGACGTGAGAATTACTATTTGAACCTGTGATTCCAGTGTACCATTGCTCTTTCCCTGGAGGGGTTAGATAGGTCCCAAATCTAGGTTTCTCTCTTGACCTCCAGGTCTGGGATGTGGTGGAGAAACATGACACTGGCTGCACAGCAGGCAGTGGAAAAGATAGACTTGCTGTGTTCAAGGATGCTGGATTGGACCTGAAGATCAGCACAGGGATGGACAGCCTGGCAAGCTCAGGTACAGGCAGGGAAGCAGGAGGAAGGCAAGAATAAGCAGTATTGCCTAGTGGAGTTTGGTGTCAAACAGACATGGTTTAAAATCCAGACACTGCCACTTACCATGGGCCAGTCACATTTTCACTCTGTCTCAATTTATTTGTCCATAAAATAGGGATAGTAATAGAAGTAGCTCACCGTGTGTCAGTTCAGATGTAGGTTTGGCATGTGTATCAGATACAAATTAAACAAGGTAGAAGTTTGTTTCTCTCTCAGTAACAATCCAGAGGTTATCCTGGGTCTCGGGGTTCTTCTAGCTTGTTTTTCTGCATTATTGCACGGTGGTACTTCATGATAATCTCATGCCAGGCAGTAGGATGAAGGGAAAAGAAAAGAGGAGTACACTTATTTCACATCTCATTGACCAGAACTGAGTCACATGGCCCCACCTAATTGGAAGGGAGGCTGGGAAATATAGTCTTTATTCTGAGTGGTATGTAAAAGATAGAGGTTTGGAGCTCCAGTAGCACAATCAGTTAGCGTGCAGTACTTATATAAAAGATAGAGCTTTAGTTGCCACAGATGAGAGAATAGAATGGATATGGGGGGAACTAAGAGTGTCTTCTTTCAGCTATAAATAGTAATGTTAATAACAGTTTCTATTTATGACATGCTGGACTCTATGCTAAGTACTTTTATATATGTGATCTTATTCATTATACCCATTTTATATAACTGAGGAAATAAATATCCACAGAATTTAAGTGACTTGCTAATGAATGCACAGTTTTTAAGTAGAAAATCTTGAATATGAGGAGCCTGTGGGATGAAATGAAGTTATGCATTTAAGGCAATGGGCATACAGTAAGCATCCGACAGATATCATCAAGGATGTTGAAAATGATCTTGACAAACATCTTCTCATCCTTCCCTCTGACACACAGACTGGCACTGTCCTCAGAGTCCCCCTCCCAACCGACACCGCCGCTCCCTGAAGAGGCTGGAGACAAAGAGGAATGCAGGTTTGAGCTAAAGCTGGTTATGCCCCTCCTGACTCCCCAATGTGCTGTATTCATCAGGGCTTAGAATAGGAAACCAAAACCACTGTAGGTATTCAAGCAGGAAGAAATTTAACAGTGGGAGTTTGGTGCTCACAAAATCATCAGAAGTGCTGTAGGAGTGGAAGTTGGAAGGCTGCTTGCTGGGACTCGAAATCTCCCCACTTCAGTTTTTATTATCCATGAAACCTCAGGAATCTGCTGCCAGTATCTCTCATGAGGCTGGTAGGTAGATAATGGAACACAAAATTGTGCCTGTTACAAAAACACACATTGACTGGAGCTCACCAATCAGCTACTACTGCTACAGGAAAAAATCATTTGTTTATCTTCTATTTTCCAAATATTAACACAAGAACATCTCGGTCGTTGGAGCTAATCCCGTCCTGAGCCTTAGCAGTAAGGGGTCTGGGCAATGTAGTTGTTAGATGTCTAGCCTCTGTTGATACAGGAGGAAATGCAGATGAAAGGAGAAATGAGTGCTGAGTGCCAATGGACAATATCTAGCAAACCTGCCATCCCCAAGGCCAGGGTATGAGCCAGAAGAAGAGACTCTAAGCCTGGAGTCAGAGGAATATGGGAGGTAGCACTGGATAGTATTAGAAGTGTGGATTCTAGTCCCAGCTCTGCCGCTTGGGAGCTGTGTAACCTGGGGCAAGTGGATTTACCTCTCTGTAGCTCAGCTTCCTCATCTGAACTCACCATGTGGGTTCAATGTGAAGCTTCAGGGAGAACATACAGGCAAGGAGTGAGGCACAGCATCTGCCACAGTCATGGCTAAATAGAGGCCAGTTGTACATGGCATTAAGGTGGATGAGTCCCAGCTTTTTAGGTCCTGCCCAAGCCCTCCTCTCCCTCTGACTCTGGCCCACAGTGAACAAGTTTAAGACAGAGCTGGAGCGGAGGTGCTGTGAGGCTGGGCTCCGGGAGAGCCCAGTGGGGCTGTCGTGTGAGGAGAGGACCCAGCATGTCCGCTACGGTCCAACCTGTGTGACTGCTTTCCTGAACTGCTGCCATCTGTCTGAGGCCTTGACTCGGGAGGCCCGGGAGGAGCAGCTGCTTCTGGGGACATGTGAGAGGGCCACCACAGGAGATATGGGGTGGGGAGCTCCACTTAGGGGTATGTAGTGCCACGGGGGGCCTGGGGGGAAGGTCCCACTGAGGAGTCTGGTGGGCCACAAGAGAGACATAAAGGAGATCCCACCCTACCTCCACTCCCTGCAGCGGATGAAGATGAAGACTTTGACGACATCTTCCTGGATGACATGCCCGTCCGGACCTGGTTCCCCGAGAGTTGGCTCTGGAAGAAGTTTACTCTGCCGAAAAGTGAATCGGGGTAGGGCCACAACCCCCATGCCGGCATCTGGTCCCCAGCCCTTCCAATCTTCGCGGGTGCTGAACACGAAATAATCCCAGTGCTGACATTGAGCCCTCAGGACAGACCCAAAATAGAACCCACCTAGATGGGGATAGAGATCCCAGGGGGTCTCACAAAATGATGACCCTCTATGGTGACCCAACAACACCCAATAGCTACCATACCCCTAGACAGTGCCCCCCCAACCCAGAGGTCTGTCCAGGCAGCACAGACTCAGTGATGTCCCCCCACTTCCAGCAGCATCTCCCACTACCCCATCTCTGTGAACGTGCCAGATTCCATCACCACGTGGCAATTTGTAGCTGTCAGCCTCAAGACTGGAAAAGGTGACCCCAACAAGCCCTGTGCTGAGGGGATGGGAGAGTGGTGGGCCTACCCAGCCCCCCTCTTGGGGGGTCTGCTTAAACCCAATGTGCTCCCCCGGCCCTAGGTCTCTGCATCTCAGACCCCTTTGAGTTGACAGTTATGAAATCCTTCTTTGTGGACCTTAAGTTGCCTTCCTCCGTGGTCAGGAATGAGCAAATCCAGATCCAAGCCGTGCTGTATAATTTCAGGGATCGCCAGGTCAAGGTGAAGCCCTAAGCCCTCATCCTCCCTGTCTCTGCCCAAACATCTGTCAATGTGTTTTGTAAAAGGGAATGGAGTGTATCCATTACTGCAATGGGTCAGTGAAGTGGTGGACCTCTTGGAAAGCTTCTAGACATTTTCTTATTCAAACTTTACAGTAATCCCATCAGATGGGTACTATTATTGTTCTTGGTTTAGAAATGAGGATGCTTAGGTACAGAGAGGTTAAAGAGCTTGCCTGAGGTCACATAGCATGTAAGTGGCAGAGGTGGCTCTGACCCAGGCAGGGTCTGTGATCTCAACCACTCTGCTGTGCTGTCACCTACACAGGCAATCTCAGGGCAGGGGTGGAAAAGGGACAAAGGCCCTAGGGTTCTGGGCCACCTCATGCATCAGAACCTGCCCTTCCTGCCCTAGGTCCGAGTGGAGTTTCCCCACAAAGAGCCACTGTGCAGCGCATCGAAGCCGGGGGCCCCATCCCGCCAGGTGGTGGTCGTGCCCCCCATCTCCTCCAAGATGGTGCCTTTTGTGCTTCTCCCTCTAGAGATAGGAAAAGTGGATGTGGAGGTCAAGGCTGTGGGTTATGGGGCCCAGGACCACGTGAAGAAGACACTCTTGGTCCGGGTAAAGAGCACCCCCACCCCCTTGCTGCTAGTGCAAACAGCGCAGCTTCTTCTGGGTCCCAGGCTGTTGATCATGGGAGGGGCAGGTGGGCCCAGGATCAACAGATGGGCCTCCCAGGTGGGAATGAGGTGTGAGAGAATGGATTGGAAGGTTCAGTCAGTGGGCTGGGCTTGAGGGGGTCACAAAGTCCCCACTCTGGAACTTCGGAATCTGGCCTAGATTCAAATCTTGTCTCTGCTGTGTGACCTTGGGCAACTTACTTAACTTCTCTGATCCCCCATTTCATCATTTATGGGGTGGGATAATCATCATGCCCATGACTCATTAGAAAACTGAAAATTACCCACAACCAGCATACCACCCGTCCACAATATTTTGTTTACTTGACAAACACATGTTCAGCACTTAAGATATAAGTGCTTTGAGAATATTAACTCATTGAGCCTTCAGAACAACACTATGAGGTAGGGACTATATTATTCCTCAGAGGCAGAGAGGGGTTAAGTCATTTTCACAAGGACACACAGCGAGGAAGCAGAAGAGCTGGGATTTGAACCCAGATATTTGGGCTCCAGAGTCTGTGCTCTTAAAAGCTAAGCAATGCTTCCCCTTACTTGTCATTATGATTGTCATTTTTACAATTGTTGTTGTTTCTAACTTTCTCCCTTTTCTCATCCCTCAGGCTGGGGGTCAGATACAGCGAATGTCCCATAGCATCCTCCTGAACCCCCAAGGTTTGTGGGATCTGCAGGTGGTGTGTAGGAACCTGGGGCCATGACAGGGAGGAAGGAGGGGCTGAAATGAGGGTGTCTGGCCAGGTGGGCTCTCCAAGTTCCTCCTGGGCTCTGCACACCCTGACCTTCCCAGCCCCAGAGCCCGTTTGTCACAGAAGTTTGTGCCTGCTCAGGTCAGACCCAGATGGAGCTGGTGCAAAGACAGGACTTTTTGAACAAGGTGCCTGACACACAGGCTGAAGTGTTTGTCAGCATCCAAGGTGCCTGGACAGAGGTGGCTCCTGGTGGGGTGGTGGGTATGGGAAGATAGGGAGGACCAGAGCTAGCTCCTCCAGGGCCAGACTAGTCACACAGGCTGGAGGGGCTGGGAGTGGCCATGTGGGCTTATCGGGGGGCCATGGTAGCTTGGGCCACTTCCCAAGGTGGCTCCACTCGCCCGCTATAGGTGACATCCTTGGGGAGACTCTCTTGGGCAGCTTGACACCTGGAGAAACCCAGCGACTGCTGCGAGTCCCAACGGGCTGCCCCGAGCAGACACTGAGCTCCCTGGCCCCGGTGGTTATCCTGACCCGCTATTTGGATGCCACCGGCCAGTGGGGCAAGGTCGGGGTGGAGCACAGGGACCAGGTGATGAAGAATATTGTCAGAGGTGAGAGCGGGACCCTTCGTGAACCTTGATGAGAATGTCTGGGTCTCTCTGGGAGAGTGGCTGGGCTACCCTCAGACAACCACACCCAAACTGTGACTCCTCTCCCAGACTGCAACATAATACCAATTCCACCAGGTAGCCCCCCAAACTGCTACCCCTAGATGACTCCTTCACCCTGGTGCAATATAACAGACTCCCTGGTCCCCTAAGCAGTGACCCTCCAGGTGATGCTATACCCAGACACTGTCCCAGGCCACGCTCCCTCGGTGCCACTTCCTGAGCTACATCCCCAGGTAACCTCAGGGGACACTCAAGCACTAAACCTGAAAATAATCCCAGGAGGCTTCCTCCCAGTTACATCTGAATGCCAACACCTCCCCGGGTTATGAACAAGCCTCCCAGGTAACAACCAGAGATGGGCAACCCCAGTAATACCCTGACAGAGACCCCCCAAGTCAATTCAGATGCTGACTCCTCTCCCAGACTACACTCGGCCACCAACTCTCCATTCAGTTTCTTTCAAACAGTAACCACCCAGGTAGGACTGAGACACTGTCGCCTCCAATGTCACACCCAAATAGTAAACCCCCAGATAACCTTTAGGTAGTACCCAAGTGGCAATGCTCAGAGAGGATTTCTGAGAGGTGCCCTTCCAAGATTACACTCCCAGGTGACACAGACACACTGATGCCCCAACTTCACAACCAAGAAATAATCCCCAAGAAAGTTCGCAGGTAGAGCCTCTTGGGTTGTCTCTTTTCCTGGTTTACACTTGGATGGCAACCCTTCCATGATCCCCCCAAGCAGCAACTCCCAGGCACACTCTTCCCCAGAGTCCCCAAGGTGGTGGTTTTCCAGGTTACTTCCAGCCAGATACAATTACACCCTGGGTCCCCCGCAGTCACACCTGGGCCATGACCCTCATTTACACCTGGGCCCTGAAGCCTTCTTAAAACACCTGGACAGTGGGTCTCCTCCTACAGATTACATCTAAGAGGGATGCACCCCCAAGTCACACTCATACCCTGCCCCCCTCCCAGCTTGTTCCTGATAACTGACCCCCTCCACAGGCCACACCCAAACACCAACCTCCCTGAAAGCCCTGCTCCATCCATTTCCCCAGGTTACACACAGATGTTGACACACCGGAGTGCAGACGGCACCTATCACACCTCCAAAGGAAGTCCAGGAAGCACCTGGTAAGGATGACCCTGTCACTCCTGCCACCTACGCTCTGGAAGCCCGAGGGGCCAGCCTGAGACGTGATGACCCAGGGACATCCACGCTATGGGGTTTTGGGGTGGGCCGGTGGCATTCCATGCCGGCAGACCTGGAAAACAGCAAATGGGGGTGGGGCCGGGCTGAAGCAATGTGCTTCACGGTGTAGACTACCCTGGAATGTAGATGCCCCACCCCAGAGCCCTCTTGTGCTGTTCCCAGTTGTCACTCTCTCTCCCAACAGGCTCACGAGCTATGTGTTTCGGGTCTTCGCCCTGGCCTACCCCACGATGACAATCAGCATGATCGACCCACCCTCTCTCTGTGCCATTGCCAACTGGATCACCCAGATGCAGGCGGAGGATGGGCACTTCTTGGAGAAGGGCCCTGTGGTCATGGGGTCCATGCAGGTGCTTGCTGCCCCCTTGTCTGAGTCATTCCAAAAAAACTCAGGTGTCTGTGCACTCATCAGGGGATTTCAGGCCCCTGATCTGTTCTCCAGTAGAATGAGAACAGGGAAGAGCCGAGGCTCAGTGCTGAGGATCACATTTCCGTGGTCTGGACCACTCTGTGCTCTGTTACAATGTGGGTGAGGCTGGGCACATTTGGGGTCTGGTCTCCTTCTCACTCCAACATCAAGCAGTGGCCAGTTCTGGCCGTCATCCCTCTGGGACTGAGTCCTCCCTGTCCCCCAGATGGTGCACCCATGCCTACCAAGAGTTCCTCCACACCAGCCTCTAGAAATATCTTTCAAACACTGACATTTATTCTCTCACAAACCTGGAGGTTAGAAGTCCAAAATCAAGGTGTTGGCAGAGCCATAGTCCCTCCAAAGGCTCTCGAGAAGGATTCTTTTTACCTCTTCCTGCTTCTAGTGGTGACCGGTGATCCTTGGCTTGTGGTTGTGTCACTCTAACCTCTGCGTCCATGGCTGAGTCCTTCTGTGTCCCTTCACATGGCTTCATCTCCCTGTGCCTCTTCTTCTTATAAGGACACCAGTCATTGTATTTAGGGCTCACCCGAATCAAGTATGACCTCTTCTGAAATTAACTAATTACATCTGCAAAAACATTTCCAAATAAGTTCCCATTCTGAGGTTTCAGGAGAGCATGAATTTTGGGAGGACACTCTTCAATTCAGTACAGGCATTGAGGGTGGAAGCTGGGAGATTAAAGAGGAGTTTCAAACCTGAGTGGGCCACTTAATAACAGTGGGGTGGCTTTACCTCTCTGACTACGTTTCCTCATCATTACAATGGGGCTGCTACAAGGATGCTCTAAAATAGTGCAGAGAGATTAACCTTTGGGGCTGGTGACTTTTGTTGTAAGGCAGACCCCACACAAGCAAATCCCAAGATGGTTTCTTCTCTCTCTCCCCATCCCACCTCCAGCATCATCCAGGCCAGAGATGGGCACCTGGGAACTTCTCAAGCTCAGGTTGAAGAGGTTGGGAAAGGCATCCCCAAGATGCTGAGGGGATAACAGGTGTGGCTCTGCATCCACAGGGTGGCTACCGGGGCTCCGAGGCGGACATATCCCTCACAGCTCTTGTCCTGATCGCCCTGCATGAGGGAACGGAGCTGTGCAGCCCGACAATGCCGGTAGGACCCCAGAGAGGAAGACAGGCTCTGCAGGGTGCTCCAGACTCTGCACGTGGGGAGCTCTCCTCCCTCAACTCCGTCCGGATCCCTCTCTTCTACTCCCAGACTCTTTTCCTCTGATCACCTCCCTCTGGCCTCCTTTCTCCGACCCTCTAGAATTTGATTACCAGCATCGAGAGAGCCCGTGGCTTCCTGGAGAGAAAACTCCCCAACATCCAGACGACCTTTGCCATAGCCATAGTCTCCTATGCACTGGCCCTCGCCAACAGCTCCCAAGCCAATGACCGCCTGGACAACTTTGCCAGCCGAGGTGGGTGTGTGGTATGTCTTAACCAACTGTGTGTTAACTACAGTCGCAGGGGAGGGGACATGATTTCAAATCCAGCAATGTGTATCTTATCACTTAGTGTTTATTGGGCACCTACTGTGTGCCAGCTCTTGAGCTCGACCCTGAGAGACCAAGGTGAGCAAGACGGATATGGTCCCTGCCCTCAAGGGTCCCGCTGTCCCTGGGAGAGGCAGGCAGAAGACAAATAGATCAATATGTAATTACAAGTTGAGACAAGCACTAAGATGATACCATACAAGGTGGGTGAGAGAGACGGCAAGGGGAGAGGACTGGAGGACTGGGATGAAAGATGAAAAGTCACACCTGTGCAAAAGGCGAAGGACATCCCAAGCAAAAGGAATGGCACGTGCAAACACCCTAGGGTGGGAAAGAATGCTTGGTGTACAAGGATGGGAAGGTCATAAACCGTGGGTTACTGGGAGGGGTCTGCCTCCCCAGGCCTGCCCTATCTCATCCCCAAAGGTCCACATCCCATCTTCTCCATTCCCCAAGTCAAGGGAAATGGAGTTAGAAAAACTTGCTTGCAGTGGGACTGGAGGGATCTGGAGGAGCTTTTGTGGACCTAAATTTCCCCACCTCTAAATAGTTAGAGTCCTGTCTCCTAGGATAATTTTGAAGGTGCAATGTTCACACGTTTTCTCAACAAAGAGCTTCACGCAAAGTAAGTGCTCAATAAAATGGCAGATAAGAAAAAAATTGGGCCAGATGATACAGGATAGAGTAGGTTGAGGCAGAGGGACCCAGCCCTCGGTGACAAAGTGGGTGTCCCCCTTCTAGACAAAACCCACTGGCCAGTGGGTGAACAGTACGTGAACTCCCTGTATACCATTGAGGCCACAGCCTATGCGCTGATGCAGAAGTTGGAGCTGCGTCGGCACAGTGAGACGCACGCCATCGCCAAGTGGCTACTGGAGAAGCGGGGGCTGGGAGGAGGCTTCGGGTCCACGCAGGTGACGGGGGCCTCAGGAGGTGGGGGCGGGGGGCGCTAGCCGAAGTCCTGACTCGCCCGGCCCTACCCGATGGCGCTGTCCGTGGTGCTGACGCGTCGACCCACGGGCTCCTGGGGGCGCTGTCTCTGGTGCTGATCCGCAGCCACCGTCTCAATACCCAGACCACGGTGGTGGCCCTAGAAGCTCTGGCCCGCTTCCAGAAAGCTGTCCCGTTCGAGGGCGTCCAGGATCTCCGCGTCCAGATAAGTGCCCCCAAGAGAGCCTTGAACGTGGAGTGGCTCATTGATCAGAACAACGCCTATCAGCAGCGGTCAGCAAAGGTGCGGCACTGAGGGGCAGACAGGAAGTACACACAGAGGTGGCACTGGGAATGAGACCAAGAGCCATGCCCCAGCCAAGCTCCCCACCCCACATGATTATCTCATAACCGTTGGAAATTTCGCTATACTGTCAATTTATTGATTCATTAATTCCACAAACATTTCTTGAGCATCTTCTACGTGCTAATCACTCTCCTGGGCGTTGGGGATACGTTATAAAGATTCGTCCCTTTCCTCGTGTAATGCAAAATCTAGAATGAAGCAAAAAACACTAGATATATTCCATTTTAAGCGTTCTGAACACAGGGAAAGGGAAATAAATGTGTAAAGGAGGAAATTACTTGGGTGTGGGGAGTAAGGTAACTGCCATGACCTTACTCCATGAAGGAGGTGTCATTTAAGCTTCAGTTACTTGACACGTCTTTAATGAGCACTCACTGTGTGCCTAGCACTCTTCTTCGTGCTGAGAATACAGCCAGGAACAAGACAGAAAGAATCCGTACCCTTGTAGAATTTTACATTTTAATGGGGGAGATGGACAACAAAGAGATATGAGTGAGTAGAATATATAGTATGTTCAGTGGTGGCAAATGCCAATCAGAAGAGTCTTGTGGGGGCCTTACGCATGGGAAATTCTGTAGATGCTGCAAAGTGAACAGATTTGAGAGATGCACAGTGGGACATAGTCTGAGTTAGCAGCTCTAGTTGATCTGTGACAGGGTAGAAACCACAAATGCTCTGTCAAAAAGAAATAGCAAAACCATCTGCATGTGGAGAGGTGGGTAATGAATCACCGGATCCCAAGTTAGGGAAATAACCGAGGCCCCAGTGCCTGTGCATGCCTTCCTTTCCACCCCCATTGTAGTTGACCTGCATTTAAATCCCTCTCTCCCTTCCCTTCAGTTCTTTGCCCAGGACGACCTAGAGATCAAAGCCAGTGGCACTGGGAGAGGTACCATCTCGGTAGGTGTGGTATTTCACTATCTTTATCCATTCAGGCTGCTACAACAGAACAGCACAAACTGGGTGGCTTATAAACAACAGAAGTTTGTTTCACAGTTCTGGAGGCTGGGAATTTCAAGATCAAGGCAGTGGCAGATTTGGTGTCTGGTGAGGGCTTGTTTTCTGGTCCATAGATGGAGGCTTCTTGCTGTGTCCTCGCATGGCGGGAAGGACAAGGTGGCTCTCTGGGGTCTCTTTTAGAAGAGAACCCCATTCATGAGGTCTCCACCCTCTGACCTAATCACCTCCCAGAGGCCCCACTTCCTAATATTTATCACATTCGTGATTAGGTTTCAACATATAAATTTGGGGGGGACACAAACATTCAGAACAACCCTTGAGATCTTTACCTGGGGCCCAGGGCCTCCCTAGTTGGTAAGAGTAGGGACAAGTCTTAGACTCCAAGATAAGATCAAAATCAGAAATGAATTTAGCTATCATTTAGGGCACTACTGTTTGCTTGGGGACAGGCTAAGGACCTCAAAACCACCCTGGGGCCGGTCCGGTGGCGCACTGCTATAGTTCGCCGCTTGGGAAGCGCGGCGGTGCTCCCACCGAGGGTTCGGATCCCACATACAGACCGGTTCCCGCTCACTGGCTGAGTGAGGTGCGGGAGCAACACCGAGGGCTGCGATCCCGTTGCCGGTCCCGGTCCGGTACGGGGGCAACACTGAGGGTTGCGATCCGTTGCCGGACACGGAAAAAGACAAAAAAAAAAAAACACCCTGGAAAGTTGGTATAGGTACAGAGTCCATTGGACAGGTGGGAAAATGGAGGCTCAGAATGGCCTTCACTTGTTCTAAATCAAGAGTCAGGGAGGTCTTCGGACCCCTCTGCCCCTCTCATCCTGGGTCCCTGAGGAGGTGTCTCCTTCCTTGTCCCCTGAAAGGAAGACTCTCCCTCCAGGATGCCTTCCAAGGCCCAGAGGATAATTCCACCCTTCCCCCAAAATATGAGCCAGCTCCGTGCCCTATCGCCCAGGAGGACAGCAGTTTCACTCACCATAAGGCAGCCTGTTACCATGTTTCAGGCAATGGAGTCATGGCTGAATCTCTGCCTTTGTTATGTGACTTTAGGCAAGACGTATCCCTCCTTAAGCCTTAGTTAAGTTCAAATTTATTTCGTTTTTCTAACTTTTTTTTTTGTTAAGATGACCGGTAAGGGGATCTTAAGCCTTGGCTTGGTGTTGTCAGCACCACACTCACCCAGTGAGCAAACCGGCCATCCCCATATAGGGATCTGAACCCGCAGCCTTGGTGTTATCAGCACCGCACTCTCCCGAGTGAGCCACGGGCCAGTCCTATGTATTTTTTAAAATTTTATTATTACACAATGTGAACATTTTTTGTGGCCCTTTACCGATTTTTCCCTAAACCCCTCTCCCCCAAATTTAAATTTAAACAAGTTAAAAGTAAATAAAATTGTACTAGCTGGTTAGCTTTGTTGGTTAGAGCATGGTGCTGATAACACCGAGGTCCAGGATTCGATCCCTACACAAGCCAACTGCCAAAAAAAAAAAAAAAAAAAAAAACCACCAAAAAAAGGATAAATTAAAAATTCAGTTTATCAGTCTCATGAGTCATATTTCAGTAGCCACATGTGGCTAGTGGCTGCCATATTGAACAATGCAGATAGAGACCATCTCTATCACTGCAGAAAGTTTTATGACACAGAGCTGGTCTAGACTCTTCTGGCCACTGCACCTAGGAATCGAGGGTAGCAGATCTTCCAGTGAATTCCCCACATGGGCAGCGACCTGGGTAATCAAGGACTGGGGTGAGGAGGAAAGGGACAGGGTGAAGGTAGGCTCTGACACCCCCCTCCCTTGCCCCAGCAGATCCTGACCATATACCACAGGTCCCTAGAATCCTATGAGGGCACCTGCAACCTGTACCACCTGAATGTGACTCTCCACAGCATGCCAGAAGGTGAGCTTGGGCCCACAAGTGCCCAACCCTTCTTTATTATTTTATTTCAAACTGTCATTCACCAACCACATTTATTACTTCGTTCAGTCATCCCACAAATGTTTAGTGAGACTTACTTACCAGGTCATTTCTTGGCTCTGGGAACATAGACATGAATAAGTAAAATATCCCTTCTTCTCTGGAAGCCACATTCTAGAGGGGGGAGAAGAACAACACACAAGTTACAAAGCACTGATCAGGCATTATGTTAAATGATTTACTTGGACTAATTCATTTAATCTCACAACAACGCTGTTGGGTTGGGAATATTATGATCCCTATTTACAGATGAGGAAACTGAAGAACAGAGAGATTAAGCAATTCACTCAAAGTTGCACAGCAGCATCAGGATTTGAACCCAGGAAGCTGGTTCCAGAGGCTGTGTGCTTAACCACTGTGCTACTCAGCCTCTAAACTCCTGCCTTTTTTCTGCAGAGAATAAAAAGGGAGAGGAGACCTTCCAGCTCCGAATGGAAACGAGGTCAGGGCACCAGGATCTTGGGCTGGGTGGGAGGAGAACCCCACCTCTGGTATCCAGATTGCTTAGCAGCCCTCCCTGTGTACTGAAAGGAGGATTGGAATCAGCCAAGCTTGTCTCTCTATGCCTGCCCCCTCTTCATCCTCCCCATTCCGCCCATTCTGTCCCCCATACTGCCATGTCTGATGTCCTAGGACAGAAGGCTGTACCTTGGCCAACATGCTCCATGACCCAAATGCCCAGTGTTGACTCCAAGACCCAGTTCCTATCTTTTCCAGACACCCCAGCCCCTACCCCAGTCCTGCTCTGACTCACGACCCCTTTACCCAGGTCCACCCCAGAGGTAAACATTTACTGAGCACTTACTATGTGCCAGGTGCTGTTCTACGAACCAGGGACACAGCTGTGAGCAAGGCGGCCCCTCCCTGCCTCGGTGAAGTTCACAGCCTATCAAGGGAGACAGACAATAACCAAATAATTACCCAGAACTAATACAAAATGACAACTCTACTTAAATGTGACAAAGGAGAGGTCCACAGAGTCAGGGGAGGCAAATCAGAGAATAGTCGGGTATGCCAACTGGTGAAGGCTTCCCAGAGGGAGTGGTGCATCAGCTGAGATAGGAAAAATGAGAGGATGTTTTAGGGTGAAGAGAGAGGAGTGAGGATCCAGGCCGAAGGAAGAGCATGTGCAAAGGTCCAGAGGCGGGACGGGACTGAGGCTAAGAACAATCGAATGGAGACTAGGGTGGGAGGAGGTAAAGCGGAACGGTGCAGAGCCTGAGACAGAGCATTTGGGGGCTTTTCCTTGGTTTGGGTTTTTCAGCGGCCGGCCGGTACAGGGGTTGAACCCTGGGCCTTGGTGTTATCAGCACCATGCTCGAACCAACTGAGCTAACTGGCCAGCCCCGGCATTTGGTAATTGAAGGAAGGAAGCAACATGTCAGATTTCTGCTGCTAAAGTTCTGTGCGTTGGAGGGCAGAGTGGGAGGGCGAGACCCGGGAGGAGGCTACTGCACTAGTCCAGACAACAGATGATGGCACTGAGGAGCATGGAGGAGAGGCAGCACAGCGGGAAGAGAGACTGGCGCTGTGAAATCCCCAGGTTCCAAGGCAATCGAGAGGCCACAATGACCATCATGGAGATCTCCCTGCTCACCGGCTTCTACCCCAACCAGGATGACCTTAAACAGGTAAGGAAGACCCCACACGCCCACTATAGAGCAATGGCCTGCAGTCCCCGTGTGGGTGCAGAGCAGCGTCTACCCCCATCAAGGCCCCCGCGCACCGGCTTCTACCCCAACCAGGATGACCTTAAACAGGTAAGGAAGACCCCACACGCCCACTGTAGAGCAATGGCCTGCAGTCCCCGTGTGGGTGCAGAGCAGCGTCTACCCCCATCAAGGCCCCCGCGTTAGTCCCCCACATGGTCAATGGTCACTTCTAGTTGACTCTCTGCATGGCCTTAGCTAAATCTCGCCCTGCTTGGGCCTCAGTTTCTGCAACAGTGGGGCTGATCAGACAAGGGCTGGGAGCTCTGGGAGTTACTTCACTCTGACTGGAGATCCTAGAGCTGCGGGCCTCAGAGGCTCCTGCTGACCCTGGTCTCCACCCTCTGCCCCAGCTCACAAGCGATGTGGAGATGTACGCCTTCCAGTACGAGACCAAGACAAACTCCAGCGACAGTACTGTTGTCCTGTACCTGGAGAAGGTGAGAAATGCCAGGTGCCTCTGCCAGAGGCCTGTGGGCAGCCCAGGGGTGGAGAACACAGGGTCAGTCCTTGAGCAGTGTTGCGCTTAAGCCGTGCCCTCTGAGGTTAGAGCCTCTGGTGTAGTCAAGCCCACGTGCTCTAGGGTCATGACCAGTGTTCATGGCCAAGGCCCTGTGGTCAGTGTCCCAGGTCAGCTCACACCGGACTCCCCTCCGCCCAGCTCTCCCACGAGAAAGACACGGTGCTGGGCTTCCGGGTCCACAGGATGCTGCCAGCGGAGTTCCTGCAGGCCGCCGTGGTCACCGTCTACGATTACTACGAACCTTGTGAGCAAGGGTCTGGGGGGCAGAGGGAGCCCGCGAGGAGGCATAGCCTGCAGAGGACAGGGCCAGGAGGGGGAAGGATGAGGGACGAAGCCAGGAAGGGGGACGGGGCGTTGCCAAGAGGGGCCTGAGCCTGGACGGTCATAAGGGGCGTGGCTTTCTTGAGCGATCGAAGTGGGCGGAGTCAAGAAGAAGTTTGTCCAGAACCGAAGGGGGACCGGCACGGCCCGCCGGGAATGGGATGAGAAGGGGCGGAGCCTTAAAGGGGTGGGGTCTTTGGAGGGGCGGGGCTTACGAGGCTTGCAGGAGGCGGGGCCAGGAGGAAGGGAAGATCAGGGAGGGCCTGGAGGGGACAGCTTAGGAATCGGGCTGGGCCAGGAGGGAACCTGGACCCAGGCCTTGCTGGGGAAAGGGGCAGGGCCAGGGCCTGGAGGGGGCGGGGCCTGGTGCGCCCCCAGTTCCCCAGGAACACTGGCCCAAGCCGACCCGGGGCCCTGCCCCCCACAGCCCTTCGGTGCAGCGCCTTCTACAACCTGCCCACAGAGCGATCTTCCCTGCGAAAGATCTGCCACAAAGACGTCTGCAGATGTGCCGAGGGTGAGATGTGCCGAGGGAGACAAAGAGAGACAGACATGGGGACACAGAGAAGCAAACATTGTCACATACACTTGCACTGCCAAAGATTAAGTGAAACAGAGATAGATACACACACTGAGAGACACAAAGAGACTAAGGCGGGAGAAACAGACAAGAAAAGGACACAAAAGAGAAAGAGGGGGAGAGAGCCAGACCATAAAGGCCAGATCCAGAGACAAGAGGGTCGCGGGCTTGGGGACCAGCGGGAGGGCGGGTGGGTTGCGGACGGGAGGAAGCCCCGTCCCCCAGCTCAGCCAGAGCAGCGGCCTGCCTGACCCTCCAGAGCAGTGCCCGTCCCCGAGGAAGGACAGCGACCGGCTGAAGCAGGAGGAGCTCCAGGCGGCGGCGTGTGAGGCGGGCGTGGATTTTGGTGAGTGTGGGAGCGTCAGGGGGCAGGCGGAGGGCCACCTGCAGGCCAGATGCCACCACGAGGCCCTCCGGCCCCCTCTTTCCCCAGTGTACAAGGTCAGACTGGAGGCCGTGGAGGACTCCGCCTCCAGTCCTTACATCTACTACAACATGCAGCTCCAAGATATAATCAAGAGTGGTATGTGGGAGGTGACAGAGGAGCGGCTGTGGGGCCCTGACCTGGAGGTCCTGCCGGGAATGGGGTGGAGCAAGAAGGGGCGGAGCCTTCAGAAGGGCGGGGTCTGTCGAGGCAGCTGCTGGGCAGGGCCAGGCACGGTGAGGCTGGCAGGGAGTGGGGACAGGAAGAGAGGAAGATCTGAGAGGGCATGGAGATGACAGCCCGGGAACGGGGAGGGACCAGGAGGGAGTCCGAGTGTGGGGGAGGGCCAGGCCTGTGCACGCTCACACACGGGGTCTCCTCCAGGCACGGACCCTGCCACATCCCTTACCATGAAGAAATTCGTCTCCCACGCCACCTGCCACGACTCCCTGGGGTTGCAAGAACAGGAATCATATCTCATCATGGGCCAGACATCAGACCTGTGGAGAGTCAAAGCTGAGTGCGTGGGGGGCTCCTACTGCCGCAGGGAGTCAGGCCTGGGCTCCCTTCCCTACCCCAGCCCAGCCTTCAGTCCCAAAATTTCTGCTGGACCTGTCGGCAAGAGACCTCAGATTTCAAGGCCGCCCTGAATGGAGGCGCAGGCCGTGCACCGCACAAGTCCAGGGAATGCTATCCGCACGAGACAGTGTGGTGGTGCATTACCTCCGTTCTCCACAGAGGGCAGTAAAGAGCCCGTGGAAGGGGCACGTTTTCTAATCCCTATTGGTATGAGCTAGATCGAGGCTGGAAGACCAGCGAGGACCCAGTGGAGTGGACGCTACAGGCTGAGGCTCTGCGAGGCTGCCAAGCAGGACAGAGGGGCATGGCAGGGAAGACCCCAAGTCCCCAGGGGCACCAGGCTCTCCTCACCCTTCTGGCTGTCTCCCACCCACAGCTACACCTACGTCCTGGGCAAGGACACGTTCCTCATGCATTGGCCAGCAGATGGGGACGTGGGCAAGAAGGAACTGCTGGACCAGCTGGAGGGATTTTCGGAATATTTGACCACCCACGGCTGCAAGTCCTGAGACCCTGAGGCCTCTGCTGCTCTCAGGAAGGTGTCTCAGAGAAGGTCGAGGCTGCTGGGCTTAACCCCAAATAAAGGGCACAGAATATCATACCCAAACTCCAGACATTTGTTGCTCCTCCAGCTTTCATCAGAGACCCTGCACGACATGTCCCGACACAGCTTGGACCTGTCTCCTCTCCCTCTCCCCCTTTCTCACTCCGTTCCAACCACATCAGGTCTTTGCATCCTTCCAACACCCAAGTCGATCCCCACCTCGGGGCCTTTGCTCTCACCGTTCCTCTGCCAGGGACACCCTGTCCCCCCAATATCTGCTTGGTTTGAACCCTTCCCTTACTTGGGCTCTGTTTAAATGTCACCTCTTGCTGGCCTGTTAGCTCAGTCGGTTAGAGCGCAGTGTTAATAACACCAGGTCCAGGGTTCGATCCTTGCACTGGCCAGCAAAAGTAAATAAATAAATACAAAATAAATGTTACCCCTTCAAAGATACCTTCTTTAATAACATATCTAAAATAGATCCCCTCCCATCACTGTCTATCCCCTTCCCCTGCTTTATTCTCTTAATAGCACTTATAGGTACATCGCATATGATATTTATTGGCTCGGTTGTTAAACAGGCGTTTATGTTGTCAGCTCCTTTAAGATAGGGGTCGTGTCTGTCTGGCTCACTGAGGTATTCCCAGTTCCAACAGCAGGGACTGGCCTAAGTCGGTGCTCAGAAAATGATTGTTGAATGAATGAATGATTGAACAGATGAATTTATAAATGAATTTGCTGCCCACTCTGTGCTTGGCCCTGATGATTCACACTTGCTCATACAGAAGCTCTGATGGAGAAGCCTAGGCAACTGGGGAGCCACCACCAGGGGCAGGGGGAGATGAGTTCATTTCATCCATGTGGGCTGGGGTGGGAACGAAGACCTGCCAAGCTGAGGAAGCAGCCCATGTGGGTCCAGAGACCCCCACAGAGTGCTGGAGGGACTGCAAGGCACCCAGGATGGCTTCAACTTGGGGTGTGAAGGAGGGACCAGCAGAGGGGAAGTGA